CCGTTATTTACTTTAGTGTTGGGTCTTCCTTGGGTAAATTTTTCAAGTCGAAGTTTTCACTACGAAAGTGATTAAATAAAAAAACGTACTATACGTTCGTTAGTCATACGTCCTTGGGCTTTGATATTGCAAACTGCCTCTTTGTGCGTTATATCTTCGATATCTATTAAATTAATACGTTAAGGGAAAATTTTGCAAGTATGTCACTGCTTACATTACCGGATCCAGTTCCTCAGTTTTATACCCGGTTTTAATAAAAAAGCAAAGTGTAAACCGGCGCAAACGGCGAGCAAACTGAGTTGGCAACGTTATGTTTTACAGGAACAGGCAACGGTGCGAGCGCGCATGATTAAAGTAAAGAATAAAGAGTAAAGCTATACGGAATTATGATACAATTAATTCATTGACCGTTTCAACTGATCCGTTTAACTGACCGTGCCGTGCGTCCGGAAAAATCCGTGGGTTGGAATTTCGCACTCACGGTCAGTTTTTGAAAGTACGTCAGTACAAGTGATCAGTTTAACTGACCGTGTACCTTTTAAGTACCTATTAAAGTTTATATGAAGATGAAAGAAGAGGGCAGAAAGATAAAATTTAAATTTTTATGATGTGTTACAAAAACGTTATATTCAATAATGATTTCTTATATTTACGCGAACACTACATATTGATTAAAACTACTTTTACGGATTTTATCGTGTTTAATTTTAATTGTTTTTAATTCCCGACGTTTCGGGTGCTTTCCCGCACCCATGGTCACACGGGCGACAATGGAGATTAGAGAGAAGAAGAACGATCACTATGTACTATCCGCCCGCCTGTCCCTGAAAATTCGTCAGTAAGTAGTATCTGCGAACTTAGCTGTTTATGAGTACAAGTAGATGATACATGAAGTTAGTTGAATAATGTACAATTTTTCTTCGCGCCATTGGTGAGAAAATAATCGTGCTACGTAATTTTTTAATTTTTGACTAAAAGAAACATTAAAAATGGTGAAAAATTGTATTGTGCGTGGGTGTGCAAGTGGTTTAGCATCTGATCGGAAAAATAGACTGAAAAAGACTTTTATTGAGACTTAGCGATCGAAGCGCCTCATTTTGTTCATGTTTCTGGGATACTAAATTTCTACAGCGATCGTTATCCTTCTCTCTAACCTCCATGGGGGGGACTGAGATGACTGACGTCCAGGTTTTTGGCGGGAACTTGGCCGTCGACGGATTGTTGCTCAAGTTTTATCGCATAAATAATGGTTTGAAGTGGATTTTGATTCGTAAAAGTGATGTGATTTTGTGAATTAAGTGTCTGCGCGTGTAAACTATTAGAGGAAGCGACGAAACAAGTGCTTCGATGTTGATATAACCCTCAAGATATTTGGATCGCTTGGGCGCTTTATGGCCTTGAGTGACTGTCGTCATCAACTATTCTCTGGGTTGAGCTGTTATCAAAATCCCCTAAAAACTTCACAATGTGCCGCATCAGCATATTGTGACGAAAAAATCTATAAAATGAAGATCCCGAAAGAAATGATAGGCTCATCATCATCATCATTACAGCCCTTCACAAGTCCAATGCTGAACATAGGCCTCCCCCAAGTAATGCCACAAAGCACGGTCCTGAGCCACCTGCATCCATCGACTTCCTGCATGTCTTACCAGGTCGTCACTCCATCTAGTGGGGGGTCGCCCTACACTACGCCTACCGGTACGAGGCTGCCACTCGAGAACCTTTCTTCCCCATCGGTTATCGGTTCTTCGAGCTATATGGCTGGCCCATTGCCGCTTCAGCTTACTAATCCGTTGGGCTATGTCGGTCACTCTGGTTTTATTGCGGATATCCTCATTTCTGAGTTTATCACGCAGTGAAACTCCGAGCATAGCCCTCTCCATAGCTCGCTGAGCGACCTTGAGCGTCCTAATACGGCCAGCGGTGAAGGAACACGTCTCAGATCCGTAAGTCATCACTGGCAACACGCACTGGTTATACACTTTAGTTTTCAGAGATTGAGGTATACCTTGACGAGAAGATTGTCGTAATTTCCCGAACGCTGCCCAGCTGAGTTGAATCCGTCGATTGACCTCTCGGTCGAAGTTGGACTTACCTAGTCGGACTATTTGTCCCAGGTAAACGTACTCGTCAACAACTTCGTGCATAGTGCTCCCAACAACTACCGGCATAGGTGTGACATGGACATTAAACATGATCTTTGTTTTGTCCATGTTCATCTTAAGACCTATCCGTTGGGAGACACCATTGAGGTCATTGAGCATAGTGCTAAGGTCCTCCAGCGATTCTGAAGGTGAGTGATGTACTCGCCATTGATGTTAATACCGTATCCTTTCCAGTCCAGTAGCTTGAAAACGTCTTCCAACGCAGCGGTGAAGAGTTTCGGGGATATAACATCACCCTGCCTTACACCTCTCTGCAGTTGGATAGGTTTCGTACTCTGGTTCTGTACTCGGATAGCCATCGTAGCCCTACTGTACAAACACTTCAGCACTTCAATATACCGACAGTCAACTAGGCACCGCTGAAGAGACTGTAGAACCACCCAAATTTCGACGGAATCAAAGGCTTTCTCATAGTCCACATACGCCAGGCAAAGTGGTAGATTGTACTCTTCAGACTTCTGTAAAATTTACCGAAGGGTATGTATGTGGTCTATGGTACTGAAGCCTTTTCGGAAACCGGCTTGTTCGGGAGGCTGGAAGTCGTCGAGTCTGCGTGCGAGACGATTCGTAATGACTCTCGAAAACAGCACGTAGACGCGGCTCAGAAGGGAAATCGGTCTGTAGTTCTTCAAGAGAGCGTTGTCGCCTTTCTTAAAGAACAAGACCACCGCGCTTCTGCTCCACGCCTCCGGAGTAGTGCCACCATGGAGGACGGAATTGAAGAGCTTCTGAAGGACTTCAAGTACCGGTTTTCCACCCGCTTTCGGAAGCTCCGCTATAATTCCATCCTCGCCCGGGGCCTTGCCTTTTTAAGGTGGTGGAGAGACATTCTAATCTCGCTCAGACTGACGTCCGGGATATCATCGGAATAGGCTCAGAAGGGCAAAAACCCAGAGCCGATAAGCCAGTTAAATAAAAAAAAAATGACTGACGTCCCGATATCATTGTTAAACCCGGAGTACCTTCAGCGTTTTTAATTATTGTTTATGGTCTGATTTATGCAAAATGAACTGACTGCGTCTTGAAGTCTTGCAGTTGTATGCTTGGGTTTAGTTTTAATTTTATTGATTATAGGGTCCCAAGCAGGTACCCAGCCTCCTTTTCTAATGAAATTAGGAAGTTTTTTAATTTCAATAGCCTCACGTATCATCCTTGGTAGGAATCGGTGTTCTTTTGCGAGGATTTGTGGTCTATCAAATCTGATAGACCACAAATCCTCGCTGACTTCCCGGAACGTGATGTGAAGCATCAACGTACATCATCAAGTCATCTCAGCCCCAGTGACCACGGGTGGTGGAAAGCACCCGAAACGTCGGGAATTAAAAATAATTAAAATTAAACGCGATAAAATCGTAAGTAGTAAGTAAGTAAGTAGTTTTAATCAATTTACATTAAATATATTATAAAACATTAATTGTTTACGTTCATACTGTCAAACAGTCGAAGAAATAATTACTGACTCAAATGTTCAACTTTGAAAGATCTGTGCAAGAAATGGCCGAATTTCGGCCAACCAAATAGCAAATACAAAATTGTTTTCATTCTCACTTTTTTTTCCCCACGTTTTTATTAAGTCATTTTCTTGTTTGTTTATCTGTGTCTATCGTTCCGGATGGAATCTTTCGCTCTAATTTCGAACACTTCCCGGTGAGCGTAGATCTGAAAAATCACTTGATTTTTGTTTAACCTTCTTGGTACTTCACATTCATTATTTACGTGGTTTCACTCATCGATATACATGTACTACGCACTAGATTTGACATTTCGAACACTTACTGTGTAATTGTGGCTTCGATATTCATTCATGCGGAGCGGCGCTAATAATAATTTTATTTAAATTAGCACATATGAAAAATAAACGAAAATTAAAAAAGAATGTACTCGATTAACAATACAATCTAAACAAACATTTATTTATTATGACAATTCCCGCGCGTTTATATCAACTGCGAATGCGCGACTCTACTGTTTACCGCGCATACGCGGTTACAGAGTAGTGCACATTTTTTGTTTGGAATAGCTTCTCTAGTACGTAAAAAACGTGTATACATATAACTCAATGGTTTCACTCTATTTTGTGTACCGGCCGCAGGTTTGCTTTTTGGTGTGTGTACTAGCGTAGTAAGAATCTCCGGAGTTAGACGACCAGGCTAGCAGATTTAAGCAGAAACTAAACTATCTGCGTAGTAGTGTTTATTTGTATTATTTTTATGACTAATATTTATCTTTTACCCAATTTTCATCTTTTTTATTGAGTACGTCAAAACTTTGTTACAGGATAGCTATCTGTTACATTCGTCACTTGGAATATATGTTAGCGGGTGGTTCGCCAGAAGAAAATGCAGTGTTCTATGATTTTCAAGCAACAGAAATAAGACTCCGGCAACAGAGATATTAATTTTAATTATTTTAATTATAACATTGATACATTCATAATCCTAACTGGTATTTATCTGTATAAGCTTCAAAATTAAAAATTAAAATTCTCGGTTCAAAAAAATCTAGGATGGGTTTTTTGTTACATACAATTGTGATTACAAGGAGTGCAGCAGTTATAACCGGTCGTTTTAATGTGTTTTTTTTTTGATACTAAATTGATTCACACTATTCAAAATAAATAAATTATATAATTTAAATAATGATGACGTATTAAAAAATGTGATTTAATAACAAAATAAAACGTAAGTACAAAACATTATACGAGAACATTATTTTAAATAAAATTTCGACAATACCTTTCAAAAATTAGTAGGAGACATTAAGTACAACTATAAAAATGTTAGGACAAAAATTTTCGAAAATTTTGTATATATACCTACATCTGATTCTGATTTACACTTTTTGCTTCTTCAGTTTTCTTTCTTTTTCTTCGTCAGCCTGTTTCTTCTCTAGTGCTTTGAGGTAGTCAAGATAGGCGCACTTTACAATTAATGGAATTTTCACGACTCCTGTGTGAGGAATACACAATCCATTAAATCGTGACACAATATTCGTATGAGAAATATGGGCAAATTTTTTTATATCAAATCATCTTTACTTTTAAAACTGTAAGTAACGCGGATAACCATTTGTAAATTTTTTTGTCTGTCTGTTCGAAATAATCTTATACCTAAAATAGCTGAACCTATATATTATATATATATATATATATATATATATATATATATATATATATATATATATATATATATATATATAGCTGAAATTTTAATAAAAAAGTAATAAAACAAATCGTGTTTGATTATTTCAAATTTAAATGACATCACATTAATAAATCCTATCGAGGCGAAGTCGGGGCTGGTCGTTTAGTCTTTTTTATAAAAACCGATAAACTGAGTGAGAGATGCTACAAACGAATTAATTTTGATTTTTTCGTAAGACATTGAAACAAAATATTTAACAAAAAGCACAGCCGACAGTCTCCCAATAAAGTGTCGAACCTATGTTTTATCATAAGGTCTTTAGGTTCATTAAAAGTAGTAAATATGCATCGTAAAGGCACGATTAAAGTGATCACAAATATATACAGTATGTTCAAGATGAGATATGGTACCAGTTACGGAAATTAAAAAAAATTACAATCTTTCAGTGTTAAAATAGTGTACTCGTGACAGTTGTGGTTGGTTGTGGACAAATTCGATACACAATAGTAATGCCGCTGGGAACAACAATAAATTATTGTCTTATAGTTGTGTTATTTAAACAATTTTACTACTATATTGGTTATACGTATTTGGAAACTACAATAACACAAATTTAATAGTTTACGCGTGGTAGGGTCATGCTCCAGCTATATTATTATTACCTACAAACTAAACACTAAATAAACTAAATACTTAGTAAGAAAATGTTTGTGGTGGGAGGTTCACGACAGTGGTGGATTAGAACTCACTTCTCCACTCTTCGTATTCTGTGAGAACGTGGTCCTGCCCCGGTCTACTGCTGAACATATTATATTACCTCATAGAGGGATATTTGCCATAGCTGCCAAGCCTGCCAGTGGCTGGCTGCTGTCTCATCTTGCTTGCTTCAGTTTCCCTCTGTCGCCTTTTGCGACAGCCCACGGAATGAAGAAAGGGTAACAGATATTCTTACACCGCCACTATAGTGTCAAACATCTTAATTTTATTATAATTAAATACCAGTTCAATATTTATAAAATGATGATGTCTTGTAGAGATGAAGTTTATGCCACGGACATCACTTACTTTTACTGACTCGAAGTTATCTGTTGAGGATATTTCGAATAAATTTTTGAAGTGAAAATCTTTAGGCACGTTGGGCACTTTTGGAATGGGGAAAAGCACCGAGATTACATTACAGTCGCGCTCACATACACATATAATCATTCTTTTTTATGTAAACAGTGCAATAAATAAAAATGTATTACTATATTAATAGGTACGTTGATAAAAATATATTCTAATAAAAATTACTTCCTAAAAATATATATTTCTGAACAACCCAAAAATAATGTTTACCACTTCTGAAGTATAGTCCTACGATTAACTAGGAATGGACTCACACATAGTTTTTTTTCCATTGTTTACAACCCTTCACAAGTCCACCGCTGAAGCTGAAAAGGCCTTGCCGCAAGTCATGCTACAAAGCACGGCTTTGAGTCACCTGCATTTACTGGTTCTATATCACGCTGAGAAACTTCGAGCACCCTCTTTCTATGTCGCTGAGCTGAGTAATTTGTGAGCTTGTGATACGGCCAGAAGTGAAGGACTACTTCTCAGTTATGGCAAAACTGGAAACACGTACTGGTCGAACATACAATCAGTGCGTGCTAAATAGAATAAACATTTTTGTTTTAACACAAATAAGATTTAATTACCAGCAAAAGACGTTGTTATGAAATTCTTGTATATTGAATAGAATGGCGCCAGCAAGCTTTCAGTGTTTTCTTCCCTCTATAAACCAAAGAAACATTTCCTAATGTAATAAAATGTTTGTAAAAAAAACTTCGTATGTAATTTTTGTTTATTAAGAAGAATTAATTAAATTTGGAATTCCCTGTCCTCTCTGTCAATGATACGACCTAGTTATACCAGGGAGTTATCAACATCAAGGAAGCTGTTTCCGGTACTAAGAGGGTCATGAACTGAATAACCCTGCCCCTCGCAGTTACTACCGAAGTTATAGGACTGAACGAAAACGTTGAATAAATCAATGAACGAAAGACAATGTAACTAAGTAGTAGTAGTACCTATATTTATTACTTATTACAACTATTTATAGAGACAGTATTATTCAGAAACTGTAATTTGTAAGTGTCGGTAATGTAAGTTATAATAATCGTCGTCGTTCACATTCGTAAGTTTTATTGGTTTTACCATACAAAGACATAAAGAAATCAATCACTACCGTTAATTCCAATAATCAAAAAAAGAATGTGTGTGATTGGCACGACATCGTTGTATGCGATTCATGTAGAAGTACCAGGTAAACATATATGATAGGGGCAAGATAGAATTTCACACATATCAGTTAAGACGGTAAAATGCCGACGAGGTTATAGCATACTCGTACACAAGGAGAACATCACATAAAATATAGATACATTCGTTTTCGTAAAGTCACAAAAGATTTTATTTCGAAAATAAATTTAAAAAGGGGTTTGGTTTTCGACGCTTGTGAGCAAAGTTACGCAAAATTGAAGCGGACTAGGTATATATTGCCAACTTTGCAATTATAGAAAATTGTAGGATAACTAAAATTACAAAATGTAATTTTTGTTATAATAATTGTAGATTAGAGAAAATTAAAAATTTGTTTTATACAAGCATATAATATATAGCGTTATCGATACTTTTTTCATGTTTAAAAAAACATGATTTATCAACAATTTTTATTAATTTTTTTCATTAATTTATTTTAATTTAACAACGTTTAAACGTTCCGACAGCGGTAACTGGTGACATAAATATTTTTTTATTAGGATTGCATATATCGAAAGCTATGGATCTTATTTCTACAAATAATAATTATTTTCAACACGTACAACTACGTGACCACACCGATCATATACAGGCGGCCGTCGAGTGTTGATGCTACGCATATATTCCTGCCAACGACGAACGCATTCTGTGACGTCTTGTTGGTTGCCCCACACTCCTTGCGCGTACGTGAAATAAACAGCTCCTACCAGGATACCAGCCTGCCAAGAGAGTAAAATGCTCATACTGCTACATTACTAAAAACTACGAAACTTAAAGGAGGTGGCAATGAAGCAAGCAAAATAGAGACGGGACTAAAATAAATAAACATCAGTCAATCAAAGGTCAAAGGCTACAATGTATTGGGAGAAAATAACGCTGAAGAGATGTAATCAAAATTTTACTCACTTTAACAGCGTACATAAGTTTTCCGTGCGCATAAGGAACTGACATTTTAGGCGATGCGTGTTTTTTTCCACTTTGCAGCATAGAATATTCCTCTTTAGTGCAAACTTTTAAGCACGTGGGGTGGATTGGTAGTTCTGAAAAATTAAAGAGTGTTAATAATTAATAACTTTAACTCATATTTGCAATGATTTGTTCTACTATCATTAACACTGAAATAGTCAATTTTGCTTCCTCTAATACAATGTATACTGTTGTATCATCTCGTTACTGCCACTCATAAAACCCTGCATATGTTCATCATCATTATTATAATCTTCTTCTTCTTTACTAGGCCGTGAAAGTCTACGGCTAGACATATTTTATTGTTCCTCTAGTTGGAAGATTTCACATAATCGTCGCGCACCTTTGACAATGCTACCCGTTGCAGGTCTAAGTATTTTATGACTGGTGAAAACAAGATATGTATACTGCTATATATATACTAGGGTATTTTGCAATAACTGGCTAAATTTGAAGAGAATGTTTAGAATAAGTAATATATAAGTAGTTAAATTGTGAAAAAAATATAATTAAAAAAATCATAAACATTATGTCCTTTTTATATTTTAAATTCAAAATGCGTGTAATTTTATACTACCTATCGCGGTCACCTGGTTTTTTGACTCTAGAAAATGGAAAAAATCATCCGATTTCGATGATTTTTTTAAATCTTCGTCTTTATGGCGGATTTATGGAAAAAATATGGAAAATATCTCACCTCAAGATTTCATACAGTTTTATGACTTTAAATGTTTAATTCTGACTTTTTGCAAAGAGTTAAACGAAGTTTATATTTTTAAACTTAAAATTTTTATATGGTTTTCTGACTTTAAATTTTAATAAACGCTTCGCAGGGCTACTACTTCTGAGTGGTTTGTAAAAAAAATAACCAAGAAGGAGATGGCGGGATCTATTCGCTCGCTCGAGCCCGCCATCTCCTAATCCAATCTGTCCGAGTCGGGATGCTTTCGCGTCGCTCGATCTTACACTCAATAAAAACGAAAATAAAAAATAATAAACAAACATTTTTTAATTTTTTTTCCGAGTCGGGATGCCCTAAGTCCCGAGCTCGCATCGCTCGATCTTACACTCAATAAAAACCAAAACAAAAAATAATAAACAAAATTTTTTAATTTTGTTTATTATTTAAAATGTTCGTTTTTGTGTAGATTATGAAAAAAATAACAAATACGTGAATGAGTGCATTTTCATGAACATTTAAAGCCTTGAAACCAATATAAGTTATCATTTTTTTATTCTTGTATTTTTTTCGTAAATTCGCCGTAATAATGAAGATTGAAAAAAATCATCGAAATCGGATGATTTTTCGATTTTCTAGAGCTAAAAATAAAATTATCAAAATGGGTAGTAATAGTCGATCGGTAGGCAAAAATGTTGTTGCCCATAAATCACATTAAATTTGGGATAGGTTTAAAATAAAAGTAGAAGCCTTATTTAATCGTATTTTCAAAAACTGCAATAACGGTATATCATTTTTTATATATTTGAACTTAACTTTAAAACTTCGCTACTCTTTGAAAAATAACCCCGTTTATAAGATATTTTCTGGCAATTTACCTTAGTCGCCATTTACGACATTTTTCATTCATTACAAGTATCTGAAAAGTCATGATTGCCGTTGAGATAGTTCCAACGTTTATCAAACGGGTAGGACAACGTCTGTCGTAGTTAGTAAGACTAGTATTTTGATAGCGTGTTGCTTGCTTGCCGTCTTTTATTTAGGAGTTTTAGGCGGGAACTTTCACAGCGAGCGATGGTAGCTCATATTATTTATACCTATATCGTTTACAAATCGTTTATAAATGAAACTTTATGAAAAATATTGTTTTTTTTTTATAGGATAGGGTGACAAACGAGCATACAGTCCACCTGATGGTAAGTGGCTGCTGTGGCCCATAGACATCTACATCTATCCTCAACAAATCAAAATACAGATGCGTTGTCACTCGTGAGGTTTAAGATAGAATGCCTCGTTTCCGGTAAAGAAGGTCTCCGGTTCTCTACAATCACCATTCGAAACATAGCAGGATATATTACTATTTTACGCTGGTATTCTGTGGTCCATTCCCGGTCGAGCCGACCCATTCGTGCTACAACTAGGGTAAAACACCCGGTAGTCAGCCCTGTGCCAGTACTCAGCCTTTACAGACATTATTTCCATATAAATAGTGCTGATATTTGTCTACACCTTTAAAATAACGTTTAATTGAATCCATGTCTCCTTATTGGTTAATATGCACACCTACGAACCAATAGCTCATCAGGTTGGTGAGCTGTACTTGTTAATTTACACTGCTGTCAAAGACACGACTAGACGCATCGCTTTTGCAATTTTTTTCTTAAGGAAACGCGCTCGAGTATTCGTTAAGTTTTTGGGTGTATTTGCTGTAATTTATGGTAGATTCTTGCACTGTTTTACACTAAAATGATTATTCTGTCATAAAGTTAACTATTAAATGCATTTTATTTATTTGATATGTTGTAATTTAGGTGGCCGACTACCGGGTTTCGAATTTTTAGGGTAGATCCAGTACTCAGCCTTAAGTGGCTGACTACTGGTTTTTTCATGATTTTCTTATATGTGGTTGAGATTGCCGAAGCGAATAGTCCCAATTTTGCCCATTACTTTTGGTTTAACTCTTATGAGATGAAAAGTGTATTTTACCAGTAGTCGGCCGCGTACGAATGTAATTGCATATCGGGGGCCGACCAATGGGTCTACAAATCCAGTACTCAGCCGTTAGTCTTGTTGCATAAAATAGTACCTTAAAGCTTTTTAGTTTGGGTTGAATTTATGCACGGTTATTTTAGCGTGAATATCATTTTTTTTAGAATTGTTTTAGAATTCCATAATGTCAAAAAGACCAATCCACCAATACAAAGAAGAGCAATTAATATAAGCTATGACTACGAAAAAATAGTAAAATAGGAAGAAAAATACATGTACAATAAACAGAATAAGATGCAACAACTGTGAAGAAGAATTGACTAGCGATACAGAAATTAATGACTTAAAAATATTGGATGTGACAATTGCCTTGCATGGTATCATTTAAACTGTACTGAATTCGCTGGGGAAATATATGAAAATATATATAATAAAGAATTTTTATGTCAAATATGCAAGAATAAGTGAGAGGCTGACTACAGGGTAAGACATGGCTGACTTGTGGAGAAATGAGGCTGACTACTGGTGAAAAGTGCCATAATTTGTTTACTACTGATTTTTTATATAATTCTATTATAAATATACTTTTTTGTTAATTTCTTTAGTAAATTTAATAAACAACTTTTCTAAAAATAATGATTGTTTTTGTTCATAGTGTTCAATATTTAAAATACAATTGAATCAAATTTTAGTTCTCACTAAAAGGCTGACTACTGGGTGTTTTACCCTATACTAAATAATATAACTGCAGCATGACTCTAACACGTATAATTAGGTTTCCGTTTAGTGTCGAGCACGTTCTAAACCAGCACAAAAAACTGCAATTAATAACATAATTGGTTCGCGAATTTTGTTCAATTTCACTCTGTGTAAAATGTACAAATGAAAAACAAGTAGAAAAGTGATCTAGGTGAGTAGGTAGGTACATCTGTAAAAACGTGTAAACGGTAGATTTTAATAACTGTTACTATTACTTTTTGCTTTAGTACAGAATCATACGGAGTCTGGCCTTTCTGTAAAATATCGTTCCTTAATTTTGTTTCGAGTACTCATATGTTTTTTATTGATTGCTGCTGATGTGCTCCCGTAAAACAGTAAAGATAAGTAAACCGCCTTTTTACTGAGGAGTTGCTGCATGCCCTGGTGTCTACAACTCGAAAACAATTTATTCTGTCAATTGAGGATTACACTCCCGCTCTAAATGCCCGGTGATTGTTTAGTACTTCAGATTGCTGATTAATTTGTCTGTTTTCTGTGTCATTTTTGTTTTATGGTACTTTTTCATGTAGGTAAATTAAGCATAGCTCTGCGCATTAAAAGTACACTTAAAACAGAATTAAAAACATGAATGTAAATTTGAAATGTCTTTGACAAGCAAAAATAACATCAAATAATATTTAAAAAAAAAAAAAAAACAACTAATATTTATTTCGGCATGCAGCGTTACATTATTTGTAATAAGTACTAGGAAAACATGTAGTCAAGGAGCCACCTTGTAATGTAACTGTTACAACGTTGGAGTTTCATTCATACCTAACAGAGAAAGCCTTATCGTTGCGCGGTTCGATAGAACAGTGTAACCATAGATAATAATATAATACACATTTATACAAATGCGGGTATCGTAGAGTTTAGGTGTGTCACAGCTCACAATAGTAATTTCTCTGTATGAAAGTGAAATACCTATTATGCAATTTTTTTAATTTATTTCATTTTTAAAACTACATGACACAATGGAAATATCTAAGTATATAATTAAATGGCTGAAAGTGTTATAAAAACTACTTTAATAGGTTTTATGGTAAAAAAAATATTGCAACCGTTTCCCTTGATGTCTCAAAGGCCTTTGGCAGCGTCTAGTATACTAGCTTTTTAGGGAAGCTTTTAGCGCATGGCTTATACTCTGGTCCGATCGGCTGAGTAGCATGACTCTTTGAGTAAATGCTCTCCGAGTCGATGTCGAATGCTGATCTTCTCAGTTTAGGATGCCAGTCCACCTCTGGAGTTTTTATATCTGACATGACAGATATCAGCCGGGTGCATGTGTCAGTAAGTAGTAGAAAGAGAAGTTATGGTTGAGCGTGTGAATCTCTCACTTCAGGCAGTCTTTGAATGGTGCGACGCCATTATTCTGAGATTAGTTGCCTCCAGAACAAAGTGTGTCATCACAAAAATAACAAGCTCATATTGTCTCCTTCCTTTCAAAATGTATCATTGGAATACACTAACCGCCTTTAGTTGTTGGGATTTGAGGTTTCCTCGCAGCTGCACTTTGGGTAGTTTTTTGATTCAAAGGGTTAAAGCAGCTGGAAGAAAGTTAGTGTCCTTGCAAATGATACATTTCGGAGAGTGTTCAATCCCCCCACTCCTTTACTAGTAGGCAGGTGTAAAAATTTAAAAATTTTCGCAGGATGGGGAAAGGAGAGTGGGGGATAAGGGAGAGGGGAGAGGGAAGTGTCCCCTACACCCCGACAGCACTCCCATGAAAAGGTAATACATCGTTCTTGAGAAAAATTAAAAAGAAAATCCCCTAGACCTCACCTCAAAATGATAGCATTTCTTTCCGGCAGGTAAGGGGACGGGGAGGGGGGTGCAGGGGTAGGGCACACTCCTGCTCCCCCCTCCCCGTCATCACAACAGTAAGAATTCCTGCCAAACGACTCTAAATCCAACCCTAGCCAGGTACCATCAGATGGACTAAGTTCCTTTGTCACAATAGTTTAAAAATATTGGTGGTAAATTGGAGCTTGATTGTCTTTTTTTTAAATTATATTCAATAAATAGTAAACAATAAAAAACATAGCAATACCTGTGACACGACTGCATTCTATTTTTTGCGTCGGCATGCATTTCTCGTATATTTGCATGTCAGGTTTAAGTTGATTCACGTGCTTAGCTAAGTTGATGGTGCGACACGGCTCGCACTTTACTTTGTTGTCGGCCATTTTTAAAGTTATACCATGAGATTATTTTTAACTTAAAACATGAATTTAGTCGATGACTCGAAACGCTCGATACACTGATTTTCAATTCTGACATTGACGCAAGATTTAATTTGGCCTGACAGAAGATTTTTCATGACAGTATTTTGCCTGATTTATTAGGTAAGGAGTTTATAATAATAATCTCCTGCAGATCAAGTTTCGATCACGGCGGCCTGTCTTAACGGAGGCGGTACAGGATTATAGAGCCCGAGTGTATGTGTAAGCACTACTCTATTTCCTCACTCTCATAATTCGCTGGAACGGTTATCCGTTACGACCGGAGAGAGATCAGGCGTAGGACCGACGGCTTTACGTGCTTTCCGTGGCACGGGGGTGAAACACCACTAACTCCCTGACTCCGTGCTGCTCCCTGACTCCAGGCTGCTCCCTGACTCGCAAACCCAGGACCTCTTGATGAGTAATCGCGTTAAAGACCACTAGACCAGCGACGCAGTCAGATAGGAGTTACATAACAGTCAAAGAGTATATTATAATCCCTGTTTCAACAATAGCTGCGACTTAAGAAGGATTTTTTAAGGAAATACCCGTTGTAGACCCGTATCGTGAAGGCAATGTCAGAATTACATAGAAAAACTCTCTGGTATCTCCTGACAGCTCCATTAGCACCAAGCGCTCATGATTCTTTCTAGGAAGAAGAAATAGTCTTATCTCTTCCACCTCCTAGCTAACTACTTATTTATGACTACGAGTACGCGACGCGAAGTCTTTCTGGGTCAAGCGCCGGATTTGACGAATTTCACAAATTTATGTGGGCCTAGTCTTGAAGTGCAAGCGCGGCGGCGCTTCTTTGGGCCGAGGAAAATGTTTAATAACAGATTTAAACATAAAAGGAAATCATTGAGAAAATACAAAAGATAAAAATAAAACTTCAAAATGAAACATCTATTTGAAATTTTATTTTATTTATTAGTTATATTTTTATTAACTAGATAAAAAAACTACAGACGTTTGTAAAAGTAAAATAATTAAAGACAGAGTTAAAGAGCAACCACTGTTTACTATTGAGAGATTATTGTTTTGTGTAAAAAGATACATACACAAAACTAGAAACAGAAAATTTTATATTTGAAACGCATGTTTTCACTTACGGTGATACTGTGAAATAACTGAAATTAAAATAAAATAAAACCGGAGTAACGAAAATGATCTGATGATCTTCAAACAGATGAACAGATTTTATTGAACATAGATCGATCAAGTCATCTCCCAAAAGAAAACAATATCCAAATCGGTCCATCCCTTTAGTTTACGATGCCACGGACAGACACACAGATACACACGTTAAACTTATCACACCCCTCTGTTTGCGTCGGGAGTTAAGAAATAACTTTACATTACTGGTTTTAAGGATCTAGAGTGGTGCTAGCGACATCTAGTGAGCCAGAAATTATAAGACCTCATTGACGAAGATTACGCGTACATACAAAAACATACAGCCGAAATGAGAACCTCGTCGCTTTTTGAAGTCGATTAAAACTAAGATTGCTAAATACGTATTATGAGCTAATAGAAAAAATTGAAGAGTTTGTTGACCAGTGATCACTCACCTATGTTTTCATAAATCCCTAATATAATTAGGTTGATAAATTTATTTGAGCGATATGAATGTGATTTTCTATGTAAATTCAAAGAGAACGTCAAATTATTTTCACTCAAAATTATTATTTTTACTAAAATATTTACAGAGCACTTTTTGAAAGCCTAAAGATACGCCATCAATATTCACATATATCATAACAATTATTAATACGCCATCGCATGAACTCTTTGAGTATTCATGAACTAGTCCCTGCTGCGGGAGAGCTACTCAGAGGAGATCTATTGACTCTACGACTTATTTGTTCTTTGATTCCTTTTTAAACATTCATTTAGTGACATAATTGAAAATATTTTTATAGTGATTTCTATAAAAAATTATATTCACGCAGTCCACCTGATGGTAAGAGGTTACTGTGGTCCATAGACGTCTATCCTCGATAACGAATCAAAATGCAGATGTCACCTGTGAAGACTAAGATGGGATGCCTCGATTCCAGTAAAAAAAAGTCTCCGGTTCTCTACACTTACCATACGAAACACAGCAGCGTTAAGCTGCTATTTGACGCTGGTATTCAATTTATAAGTATAGAGATATTTATAAAAAAATATCATGTTTTAAACTTGATACCGTATCGTATTAAAATAGTTTCAAATAGCAACATAAAATTTAGACTACAAAATGTTAACGTAAAAGAAAATTTTAATGAAAATTTTGTGTTTTTATCTTATCTAATTATTTTTATCGCCATTGAGTGACTTTGCATATCAAAACATTGTTCCATTTACGTCGACCAGATGGCGCTGTTAATATTATCATACAATTTTATTAATTCGATAACGATAAGAAAACGTTAGCTTCAGAGCCGAGAGTAGAGTTCGTGTAGCATGAATGGGTCGGCTCGACCGGGGAGGGACCACACTATCACAGAATACCAAACCAAACGAACACACAGTCCACCAGATGGTAAGTGAAAAGCTGTGATCCATTTTCTACATTTATCCTCGATTAAGAATCGAAATACAGATGCGTCGTCACCCCTGAAGACTAAGATGGAATGCCTCATTTCCAGTAAAAAAGGGTCTCCGGTTCTCTACACTCACCATACGAAATACAACAGCATTAAGCCGCTATTTTACGCTGGTATTCTGGGAGAGCGTGGTCCTTTCCCGGTTGAGCCGACCCATTCGTGCTATAATTAATACTAATAACATAGCTCCAGCATGGCCCTACCACGTAATGCATAGATGTAAACTTACCAAAATATCTTGTAACTTTATTTTCTCCAACTTTTTGGTGTCTCAGAAGCCACCAACAGATTTGTATAGACTTACACTTACAGACTTCGTAATTGTATATGAACCAGTTATTAATTTCTAATCTCAGTCTTGCCTCGGCAGGAGGTATTTCTTTGCAGTGTAAAACTTGGTGACTCTACTTGTATTTATTTGGTAAAAATATTACGTAATCATATGTGATGTGATGAGATCACATACTGATATTGCATGACCGTATAGATTTACAATAATGATTTTATTTTATTTTTGGCGTTGTAAAGAACTTAAGTTTTCACCGTCACGAGCTCTGCTTTCGGGCAAACATATTTCGATGTTTAAGATATAGCCGTGATGTAAACCGTGAGGGCTGAAACAGAATTGCCCCCAAGACTTGCTGCTGGCTTGTCTGGAAACATTGTTGAAAAGCCCCTGGACTCTTGTCCCTGCCCGGAATGATTACTAATGTTGTACGTTTAAAAAAAAAACTTAATTGCATTATAATGGCCCCTCTACACTGCTCGCGAAGTTGATAGAAGTTGAACGTTTTATTTCATTTCGACAAAATTATTTAAATTTATATGTGATATATAGAGCCACGCTGCAGGAAATTGTGACTGCATTCTTAGAATAACGTGTCAGCTCCACGGACGAACAACTAGAGACAGACTGGATGAATGCACGTAGAGGCACCCACGCAATGCGAAGGATTTACGCGATTGAGTTTTACGCTTCAGCTATATTAGTTTACGTGGTAGAGCCATGCTGCAGGAATATTAGTTTACGTGGTAGAGCCATGCTGCAGCTATATTAGTTTACGTGGTAGAGCCATGCTATATCTATATTAGCAGTATAGTTGTAGCACGAATAGGTCGGCTCGATTGAGGAAGGACCACGTTCTCACAGAATACTAGCGTAAATTAGCAGCTCAATGCTGCCACGTTTCGTATGGTGAGTGTAGAGAACCGGAAACCCATTTAACTGGAAACGAGGCATTCCATCTTAGTCTTCACGGGCGACAATGCGTCTGCATTTTGATTCGTAATCAAGGAAATATGAAGATGTCTATGGGCCACAATAACCACTTACCATCTGGTGAACTGTGTGCTCGTTTGCCACCCTTATCCTATAAAAAATGTAGGTTCCCTCACCCTTTTTCTGTCCTTCATATAAAAATGCCTACTTCACTTTTAATTTAAGACGGCCATGTAAAGGACTACGCTCTCACAAAATACCAGCGTGAAAAAGGGATTGTTTTTTTTTAGTGCTCACGAATTAATTGTCGCTTAAAACACCCATAACGAGATTTATATTATTATTTCAGACCAACAAAGAAATAAAGATGGTGAGCTGTGTACATTTCAATTGACGCAAAAACCAAGCTCAATCCCAAGTCAAAGCCAAGCTAAATGCTCAATTTATTGCATGAACACGTTCTCACGTTTATTTCGGCATTTAATATTATTTGCAACCAACATTACGGTTTTAGGTGCATATAATATGTGCATCCAGTAGGGAACATTTACAAGCTTTTAAAAAAAGAAAGAAAATGGGTATGTGCGTGTGTGTCAAGAAGTTGAGCATGGTTTCTGTGTCACCTGGAATTAGAACTTCATTATTAGAGCTCAAATAAGAATGGTATACCGGTTCCGATTAAGTACTAGCTCCTGCACTAGGAATCCTATATGTCCGAAGCTAGTCCCTTCCATACATAATGCACAAACAATATTAACATTCATTATGACCTTCAGTTCAAATTATATTCTACTTTATTTTAATCAAATTAACATTTATTAGTTTATATAGTGTATAAAGTAATAGAATATAAATTAAAATGTTAAATGTAGACAGCTCTCCGCCTATCTTTCTTTTTTAGTCTAAGATTATTAGACTAAAGACATTTTTATATAAATATTTTTAGCTAAATAAAATATAGTTTGACGTTTTACAGTCATCTCAGCTATCTATGGCCGATTTTAAAACTTTACGCAATAGCATTAGTACAATAGACTCGTTCGAATTTGGCAAAATTTCGCAATATCACCCACGTTATCTGCAAGGGGAGTTGCGGAAGCATTTAAGCGGTTTGCGCAACCCGGCGGACGCGAGGGCGTATCTCACATCGCATC